TGTGTGATTGGTCAACTCATATTATCTACACTGACACAGAAATAGTCTGTTGCACGAGCAACCAATCAGGTATTAGAGGAAACTTCCAGTCGTGAAGCTTGCGGATAGGAGGCGTGTAGTATTTACCTTGAGCGCAGCTGTTATCATAGGTTGTGACATAGTGCAAAACTTCACACTTAACTGAAATTACTAATAATCATTGTGTTAATCAATGCACAGATAGAAGGATTCCTGATAAACACAAATGGTCTGAAAGAAGGATTTATGATTTAGAAGGTATATGCCACAGTATAAATCTTATAGCATATAATAGGTTTTTACGTGCCCGTAATCGAAGATTTCTAAGCCAATTTTATATTTCGCATACATATTTAGGTGACCTTTCATTGGATACCGACAACTTTGACCGTTTGACCTTAGGATTTAAGTACATGTACTTTTAAACAAGAGGTCCATGGGCCACATCGCTCACCTGAGAAGCTTTGAACATTCCGTTCTTTACCAGATTTCCCCCTTGTAATACATATTGTGACCCCACCCTACCCAACTGATCATAATTTAAACAATTTGAAATCTACACTGCCATACGATACTTTGATTCAACATTGTAAGACTTTGATTCCCCATTGTGGCCCCGTCCTACCCCAGGAGGTCATGATTAGTACAATTTAGAATCTACACTATCCCAGGATGCTTCCACATAAGTTTCAGCTTTTCTGGCCCAGTGGTTCTTGAGAAGAAGATTTTTCCTATATATTTTTATGTAAAACTTTGATTCCCCATTGTGGCCCCGCCCTACCCTTGGGGTCATGATTTTAAGAATTTAGAATCTGCACTACCCTAGGATGCTTCTACGTAAGTTTCAGCTTTTCTGGCTCAGTGGTTCTTGAGAAGATTTTCAAATATTTTTCCTATATATTTCTTTGTAAAACTTTGATCCCCTTATGGCCCCACCCAACCCCCGGGGGTCATGACTTTAACAATTTAGAATCTACACTACCCTGGGATGTTTCCACATAAGTTTCAGCTTTTCTGGCCCAGTGGGTTCTTGAGTAGAAGAATTTCAAAGATTTTTCCCATATATCATTATGTAAAACTTTGATTCCCCATTGTGACCCCACCCTACCCCGGGGGTCATGATTTGAATAATTTGGAATCTGCACTACCCCAGGATGCTTCCATGTAAGTTTCAGTTTTTCTGGTCCGGTGGTTCTTGAGAAGAAGATTTTTAAAGATTTTTCCTATATATTTCTATGTAAAACTTTGATTCCCCATTGTGGCCCTGCCCTATCCCCGGGGGTCATGATTTTAACAATTTAGAATCTACACTACACAAGGATGCTTCCACATAAGTTTCAGCTTTTCTGGCCCAGTGGTTCTTGAGAAGAAGATTTTTAAAGATTTTTCCTTTATATTTCTATGTAAAACTTTGATTCCCCATTGTGGCCCCTCCCTATCCCAAGGGGTCATGATTTTAACAATTTAGAATCTACACTACCCCAGGATGTTTCCACATAAGTTTCAGCTTTTCTGGCCCAGTGATTCTTGAGAAGAAGATTTTCAAATATTTTTCCTATATATTTCTATGTAAAACTTTGATTCCCCATTGTGGCCCCGCCCTATCCCCGGGGGTCATGATTTTAACAATTTAGAATCTACACTACACAAGGATGCTTCCACATAAGTTTCAGCTTTTCTGGCCCAGTGGTTCTTGAGAAGAAGATTTTTAAAGATTTTTCCTATATATTTCTATGTAAAACTTTGATTCCCCATTGTGGCCCCGTCCTATCCCCGGGGGTCATGATTTTAATAATTTAGAATCTACACTACACAAGGATGCTTCCACATAAGTTTCAGCTTTTCTGGCCCAGGGGTTCTTGAGAAGAAGATTTTTAAAGATTTTTCCTATATATTTCTATGTAAAACTTTGATTCCCCATTGTGGCCCCTCCCTATCCCAAGGGGTCATGATTTGAACAATTTAGAATCTACACTACCTAAGGATGCTTCCATGTAAGTTTCAGCTTTTCTGGCTCAGTGGTTCTTGAGAAGAAGATTTTCAAAGATTTTTCCTATATATTTCTATGTAAAACTTTGATTCCCCATTGTGGCCCCGTCCTATCCCCAGGGGTCATGATTTTAACAATTCAGAATCTACACTACCCCAGGATGCTTCCACATAAGTTTCAGCTTTTCTGGCCCAGTGGTTCTTGAGATGAAGATTTTTAAAGATTTTTCCTATATATTTCTATGTAAAACTTTGATTCCCCACTGTGGACCCTCCCTATCCCAAGGGGTCATGATTTTAACAATTTAGAATCTACACTACCTAAGGATGCTTCCACATAAGTTTCAGCTTTTCTGGCCCAGTGGTTCTTGAGAAGAAGATTTTTAAAGATTTTATCTATATATTTCTATGTAAAACTTTGATTCCCCATTGTGGCCCCTCCCTATCCCCAGGGGTCATGATTTTAACAATTCAGAATCTACACTACCCCAGGATGCTTCCACATAAGTTTCAGCTTTTCTGGCCCAGTGGTTCTTGAGAAGAAGATTTTTAAAGATTTTTCCTATATATTTCTATGTAAAACTTTGATTCCCCATTGTGGCCCCGCCCTATCCCCGGGGGTCATGATTTTAACAATTCAGAATCTACACTACCTAAGGATGCTTCCACATAAGTTTCAGCTTTTCTGGCCCAGTGGTTCTTGAGAAGAAGATTTTTAAAGATTTTTCCTATATATTTCTATGTAAAACTTTGATTCCCCATTGTGGCCCCTCCCTATCCCAAGGGGTCATGATTTTAACAATTTAGAATGTACACTACCCAAGTATGCTTCCACATAAGTTTCAGCTTTTCTGGCCCAGGGGTTCTTGAGAAGAAGATTTTTAAAGATTTGTTCTATATATTTCTATGTAAAACTTGGATTCCCTATTGTGGCCCCGCCCTATCCCCGGGGGTCATGATTTTAACAATTTAGAATCTACACTACCCCAGTATGCTTCCACATAAGTTTCAGCTTTTCTGGCCCAGTGGTTCTTGAGAAGAAGATTTTCAAAGATTTTTCCTATATATTTCTATATAAAACTTTGATTCCCCATTGTGGCCCCTCCCTATCCCAAGGGGTCATGATTTTAACAATTTATTATCTACACTACATTGTACTGTTTTTTATAAGTGTGATCTTTAGTTCTCCAGTGGTTCTTGAGAAGAAGATTTTTTAATGACCCCACCCTATTTTTGTCTTTTCTTGATTATCTCCCCTTGTGAGGGAACCTGGCCCTTCATTTTCACAATTTAAATTCCCCTTTACGCAAGAATGCTTTGTACTAAGTTTGGTCAAAATTGGCCCAGTGGTTCTTGAGAAGAAGTCGAAAATGTGAAAAGTTTACAGACGGACAGACAGACGGACGGACGACGGACAAAATGTGATTAGAAAAGCTCACTTGAGCCTTCGGCTCAGGTGAGCTAAAAACTTTAAAATCGGCCATAACTTTGGAAAGGTAAGGGCTAATGCTTTATACTTATAATTATGTAATCCTCGTGAGAAGACCTTTCATTGGATACCAAGAACATAGATCCTTTGACCTTGACGTTTGACCTACTTTAAAATTCTTGGCCATAATTTTTGAAGGGTTAGGGCTTGGGCTTTCATACTCCACATATGTAATCCTTGTGACAAGCTATAAGGCCTTTTTTTAGAACCAAAAACTTTGACCCTTTGACCTTGACCCTGGATTGACCTACATGTACCTTTCAAAACTTATCCTAAGTCGTAAATTTTGAACAGGTGGTGCTAGGGCTTTCATATTTCACAATTGTATTTCTTGTGAGAAGATATTACTTTAGGCACCGATATATCTAATTTGCATTTTAAAAAAGTTTAATCTACACTATGATGTCATACGGGGGCATCAGTATTCACAAACACATATTGTTTTTTAAAGAAATTTGAATATTGGGCAAAGTAGTAAGTAAAGTCTTCTAACAAATATTTTTAAAAACACCTTAGAATATCTTTGAGACGACTCTATTTTTCAAAACAACACCATTCATTCCATCTAGTAAAATCAATGAAAAGAATGAGCTATGGTCTATTCTACGTTTGCACCAACTTGATTTATGGTCTATTCTACGTTTGCACCAACTTGATTTTAAATAATTTAATTCTGGTTGTAACGCTGTATTTGACTGGATAAAAAAATTACTTTATATCGTATAAAATGGGTTGCCAACGTCACCATGACTTGCGTCAAAAACGTATCAATCCGCCTGACGTAATATTCAAATTTTGTACAAATTGAAGTCATTTTGTTAGAACAATCATCTTTTTTTCTTACATCAAATGAATGAAAATTAAATTATAAGCAATGAATTTAATAGCTACCCATTTTATACGGTATAAACTGGGTTGGAACAGTTTACGCTTTATACCGTATAAAATGGGTAGCTATTAAATTCATTCCTTAATAAAAATCATCAAAAACAGTAGAAAAAAATATAACAATATGTAACACGTTAGCAAAAATGTTCAGCAAAAAACTTTAAATTTTGTATAGAAAATCTGTCTTAAAGAATTGTTGAAGATATTCAAACATATGACGTCTGAGTATCATTTTAAAATAATTGTAAAAAGACTTTAATTTTTGGCAACCATTGCAATAAATCGCTGAAACAAAACTGAGTTACTATCATAGTGTAACCTATTTTTTTACCGGTTTTTAAAAATTGGACAAAACTGTAGGAGGAGTAGTTGTAAGTAGACGTGCAAGTCACGAGACTTGAAGTATGGATATAGGGGAATCTATCATCTACTTTTCTATGTATGAAAAGAATTACACTTTGTACATTTACCATGTATACAATGAAAACGGATGTTTAAGAAAGGATAACATTGATCTTATAATGCAACACATCAAAAACCTGTTAATGTATCACATAATAAATAGTTACTGTTTGTTTTGATTCACTGTCTTTGACGATTCGGTTAAGCTATAAACACAAAAAGGAAATTGTGGCAATTTGTTTAAGAGCCACAAATGCATCACACATGTTCCTCTATCGCAAGTTAATTGAAAAGGAACTACGGATCAGAAATGACGTAAGTTAGCTAAAAAATCACAAACAAAAAACTTTTTTCAAACGAGATAATCAGCTAGTTTGACAAATATGTTAAATCATTGTGTAAAACAATGCACAGATTGAAAGATTCCTGATAAACACAAATGGTCTGCAGACAGAAGGATTTTTAATTTAGCGAAATAAGATGAAATACCAGAGTATAAAGCTTATAGCATATAATAGGTTATTATGTCACCGTAATCGAAAATTTCTATGCACTGTTCGTACAGTTGTTTTTCTGTCCGCAAAAACTTTAACTTTGCCCATAACGCTTGACTGTTCAGAGCTATGGCCTTAATATTTTACTGGCGCATTCCTTCTGACGAGACCTTTCTTTGGGCACCAACATATTTGACCTCTTGCCCTGGAGTTTGACCCACTTTTGCAAAAACTTAAAAGTAACTTTAACCTTGGCATAACTTTTTCAAAAGTGCGTCAATCTGCAAGGTCAACGACAAATGGTCAAAATTGTTGGTACCCAAGAGATGATCTTGTTACAAAGGTCTGAAAGAATATACATTTGAACAACAAAAACCCTAGCACTAAATGGTAAAAAATTATGGGCTTGCCAAGTTTAAAGTTGGTTAAATTTTGTAAAACGTGAGTAAAACTGCAAGGTCGAGAGGTCAAATATGCTGATCTTGTCAGAGGTGCAATAATGTAAGCAAGCCATAGTTCTAACCAATCAAGAGTTATGAAAAAAGTTAAAGTTTTGTGGAAAAAAAGCAAAAAGCTAGACAGTGAGACAGACGGACAGGAAAACATTGTATGCCTCTAATTTTCGAGCATAAAAACATAGTTTAATATCAGCATTTTCATTTTTTACAGAAATAATTTTCTCTCGCTTTTTTAGAATACAAATGTAGTTGTTTCAATTATTCATTAACTAATAACTATTTCCTCTTATATCATGAAATAGACATATATTAAGAGAAATATTTTTTTCAGACATATAGTTTTTTACTTGCTCTTATTCATGAACTATACTTTGAATTTTAGGTAACTATGGAGAACTCAACGGAAGCTTTAGAACATTCACAGAGACAGTGCTTCTCATGGATGAAAGAAACATTAACCAAACCCAATGTAACGCTTGAAGAAATAAACCAACAACATATTCGTCGTTTTCACGGAGGTCTCGCATTATTAGGCTTCGTAATAGTGGCCGGGATGATCGGAAATATGCATGTACTCGTGCTATATTACAAAAAATTTAAAGTTTCCAATTATCGGCTTTTCATCATTTGGTTAACATGTCTAGACATGATAAATTGCTGTGTCAGTGCACCCCTTATAATATTTTACTTGCTCCACCCAATCACTTACCCGTATGAGGGATTTTGTAAAATGACCCGCTTTACTTTGTACTTCTGTGCCATTGCATCTACTTCCGCTATGGTTGTCATAGCAATAGAAAGGTACAGAAAGGTCATGACGCCACATTCGCAACAGATTTCTCTGCAGACGGCAAAACTTATGTGTTTGGTCAGTTTAGTGGTTGCTGCAGGTATCTCATGGCCAGCTCCAATATTATTCGGACTCTCTCACGTTCCGACTGGCGTGGAAGGTTTAGAGGGAATTCGCTGCTTGACAGACGACACATACAAACATACGCCCTACATGTCGATATATCATTTTACTACGCTCGTGTATTTTGTGATTGTCTCGATTTGCCTTATCGTTGTCTATGTATGCATTGCCAAAAGAGTCCTTAAATCTGGAAAATTCAAAGATCGCGTCAGTGGTGTTCCGTTAACGCCTGACACTCGGGCGTCAACCAGTAGTTGCGTCTCTAAAACTGTCACCAAGACCATCACTTTTTTGACGGTGACGTTGGCCTATATCGCATGCGCAACGCCCCACCATGCCTTGGCCATACTCTTCTTCCTCACACACAACCTTGACTGCAAACTCTCGCTTCTTGAGGCCCAGTTTTATTATGCCTTTGTGTGGTCGTACTTTCTGAACAGCATGATCAACCCATGTATTTATGCGTACCGAGACAAGAAGTTTAGGGACGAACTGGAATCTGTCTATAGGCGTTGTCCATTAAGAAAACTGTGCAGTTCTTCTGATTGAGAAACAATTTTCTAAAAATATTTATAAAAACAGCCAAATTTGTAATGTATATTTTTTTTTCTCTTGTTTATGCTTCAATAATCTTTTTTTTTTTGTTTTGCCAAGTCTTTCATTCCTTAATGATTGTTGAAATAAAAGATTAACATATATAACAAGTTAAATTTGGACTGGGCACGGGTAAAACTGTGTGCTAAGCTACTATGAAAGTAGTGCCTGTATTCGTAGGTAACCAACATAGGAAAATGTTTCATCTACACTAAAATACCTTGTAAAATTGTAATATTTACTATGTCCGCTTATTTTAAAACCTCCGGTGACAAGAAATACATCTTACATATGACAGCCCAAGAGACGTACATGTATCACAGTATGTACTGTATGTACTATGTATTGTCTAGTTCACACAATATTGAATGATGGTTCAGAGATTTC